TACATCCAGTGAACACATACGTGGTATAGCAATTGCACCGCCATCTGAATGTTAGTCGGCTGGCCAGTAATGACAACCAACCGCTCGCCCTCTCCGCCAGCGGGCGCCGGCGCGCCGTTCATGCCAACGCCCACCGCGCCAGGTTCCATAATCTTGATCTGGCTCGCGCTCATATGCCTGATTTCGTTGATCTTCGCGCCGCCCTTGCCGATGATACACCCGACAAGGTCGTTGGGAATGTAGATCTGCTGGGTCTGGAGCTGCTGCGGGGCGGCGCTGTGCGAGCCGCCCGCGTACGGGTTCGAGTAGCCCGGCACGTATGACGAGCCCTGATACGACGGGGGCCGCCGCGAGTAGCTCGACGGCCTGTAAGACGAGTTGTTGTAGGACGGCATGCGCTCGTTCGCTTCAATGAGGATGTTGCCGATGTAGTAGGTCGCGATGTGGATGGCGTCGGCGACGCCTGACACGCTGAGTACCCGCTAAGTGCACGCGTTAGTCTACGTTCGTTGTTGCGCGCCGTAGCAAAGCGTACCTCTGTTGAACCGGGCAACATGCCCTCGCTTGCATTGAGACGGGCCCACTTGCATCCTGGATCTCCTTGATCTTCGTTCCGCCCTTGCCAATAACCGAACCCATACGTGAGTTGGGGATCATGAACTTGATAGTGACCGCCCGGCTGCCGGGGACAGAGGCCTTGTCAAATGGCTCGTCGTTGATTCTCCGGACGATTAATCCGAACGCCTGGACGCGCTTCAGTCAGACAAATGCCCGCGGGCGTTGACGAAAGGACCCACCTTGGACACTGCATCCAGCGGGCCACTGACGTTCAGAATGCGCTCTGGGTTGCCTGGGATGCTCTCCGAGACCATGACCCTTGCCCCGCTCTTATCCCGGATCTCGTTCACGTGCGTGCCGGCCTTGCCAATGATGATGGAGGCGTCCTGGGTAACGATCAGGCAGCGCATGTGGATGTTGGCAGCAGGTGGCGCGTTCGGCGCAGACGAGTTGCTGGGGGCCGCAGATGTGGTTGCGGAGCTGCTGTCCTCGCGCTTGGCATCTCCAGAGGCCATGTCGGAGGTGGCCTTGTCGGATGGCTGGGTGGGCGAGGGCGTGGACGCCGTGGTGTCGGCGGGGACGTGCTTCATGTCGACGTCAGTCGAGAGGGCGGCGGCGCGGGCAGAGCCATGGACGAGGTGTGAGTCATCGAAGGATGAGGGAGCGCCTGTGTTGGCACGCTTGTACTGCTTCTGCTGGTCGTTGAGGGCATCGGAGGGCGAACGGGAGCGCTTGCGGGTGTTGTCAGCTTCTGGCATGGTGAAGGTGGATTCAGTGTCTTTCAGCGGCCGCACACGGCGGTGGGGAGGCTTGTGGGGAGGGGCACGGGAGGAGCTTGGGACAGGAGGTCGGGCGATGGAGGCTCTGAAGGGAAGGCAGCGGGGGTGGTGAGGGGAACGTGGGAGGGAGGAGACACTGCGCTGGGTGCGGAAGACATACCTTGGACGCTGCGGGCGACGATGAGCGGGGATGCGAGCTCGGCGGGGGCGACGACGGGGACGACGATGGGAGGGTGACGGTCGCTGCGCGGTCTTACTCGAGGATAGGCGCCGAGTTGTTGGGGCTTATGAGGCCAAATCGGTTGCGACCGGCCAGATTTGATCCTGATTGGCCTTCTCGCTTCGTCCCACGTCCCCTGCACTGCAACCCACCCTCAGCCCACCGTCCACGCTCTGCACACGTCCACTCTATATCCACCCTCCCGCATGTCCCTCTTGCCCACTGATCGATGTCACTGTGGCGGTGTGAACGTCGCGCAATCCCTGGAATAATTGCGACCGAATCTAAGGGACTTGTCTCGCGCTGCTCAACCTTCGAATTCCATGATACCACCCAGTCGCCATGCATCATGTATTGCACTAGGCTGCTTTCCCGTAGCAGTAACTGGCCCTCATGTAGAAACATAGTGGAGCCCTTATTCATGATCTCAATACGTGACGGTTGTCGTTTGTCTTATTATCATCGCTGAGACGACTAGTCAAGTAACCACAATGTGCTTGATGGTGAGTTAGGTCCAATGTTTGAGTACTTATGACAGTGACGCAGAAATCGGCTAGTCAGTGGGACCCACAAGCCGGCGTGAATGACAGTCAGGTGGTTGTTGAGATGAAGTTTTAAAGCCATGTGCATGCTGTACTTACTACTACTTACGTGGTACAGCTGTAGTGGTTATCCGCACGAACTGTAGTGGCCACCGGCCACCCCCGAAGATCATGTCCACAAAGTAGATTACGTTCGCTTCACTCACAATCGATGAAGCGGCCTCTTCGGATCTTAGATTTCTTGACCAGGAACTTGAAGATACAGAGAGGACATACCGGTAAGGCGCCATAGCCAAGTGGTTACGGCGACAGATTAGAATCGGCTCTGGTTTATCCTGCAAAGGGCCCAGAAATCGATCCATCTGTTCCTCTTTGAGGGCGCAGGTTCGAATCCTGCTGGCGTCGCTTTTGCATGACCTTTTGAATGAGCTCGCTCAGAGGGTGCAGAGGAAGGCGATGTTACGCTGTGGAAGCGGAGAGGGGCCTGCGCGGCTTTGACGGGCGTTCAGTAGGATTTGCTACCAAATAAGGCAATAGACGCACTGGTGGCTCGACGCGTCGAGGCCGGTGGCTGCAGCGCGCTTGCGTGGGCGGAGCGGGAGCCTCGCGAGTGCTGCTCTCCGCTGCCTGCCATCCCTCCTCCTCCTCGTCGCCCTCGCCAACATGCCAGGTCTACTCCCGACCGTAGAGCAGATTGAGGACTACATGCAGTCGATCGAAGAGCTGCTCTTCTCTTCGCTGCAAGCGGCGACTCCTGATCTTCCCCGGGTCAACGAAGCGATCCATCGTCTGTGGGAGGACGTCTCGCGCTTCGGCCCTCAGTCGCTCCCGCCTCTTCCTGATCTCCACATCCCTGGACTTGGTGCGTTCGAGGTCCCGCCGCCTCCGCCGCCTCCACCACCCCCGCCGTCGCAGTCGTTCCTTCGGCACACAGCGCACTGGGTTGCAGATCACCCTTGGACTACAGCTGGGATCACGTTCGGAGCAGTCGGTGCAGGTTTGCTTGTCGGCTATGGCTACTACCACGCCGGCTCGACAACAGTGAGGGTGAGGGCGTCCGCGAGCTCGGACCGTAGACAAGTCGTCGGTGAGTACACGAGGCGCGACATGCATGCCATTATGCTGATATCCCATCGCAGTGGTCCTCGGTGGAGACTCTCCTTCGGGACTGCCTCTCATCCTCGAGCTCGAGAAGAAGGGTTTTGTTGTCATTACTAGCGTATCGACTCCCGAGGCTGTCGCGGATATTGAACGGAACTGCCATGGGTATGTGCGCGCACTGGTGCTTGATCCATCCGAGGTGCGTACTCAGTAATCGTCGATTCCATTGTCTTACACTGCACTCGCGTAGCCCGAAACGATCCCCTACTTTCTCCGCTCCCTCTCGTCGACGCTCTCGCGCCGCTTCCCCATCACCGCCGCCGGCGACCCACACGCCTCGCCTTCCCACCACCTGCACGTTCACTCCGTCATCTCTCTCCTCACACTCCCTTCCCCCTCCGTCGCCCCTCCCCCAGCACCCCTGGAACACCTCTCCCTGCAAGACGCGTATTCCACCTACCTGACCGCGACGCACATCACGCCGCTGCAGATCATCCAGGCGCTGCTGCCCCTCCGGGCGAACCCTGCACGCGCACGCGATGCCTTCGCGAACAACCTCGGCAAGAAGAGCATCGTCGTGTGCCTGCCTGCGATCGACGCGCGGGTCGGGCTTCCGTTCGCGGGCGCGCAGGCGATGAGCGCCGCGGCGACGCTCCGTGCGATGGAAGTGCTCCGGAGGGAGGTCAAGATGGCCGCGCTGACGGACGCGAGCGCTAGCATGAAGAACATCAAAGTTGTCGTTGTCGATGTGGGAGCAATCGGCGTCGCTCCTGCCAGCGAGCCGGTCCAAGATGTCCGTAAGAGTGTGCAGGAGTGGACGCCTAGCGAGAAGGTTGCGTATGGGACGGCGTTCGAGGCTGTTGTCGAGGAGGGTATGCACTACAGTGTGCACAGGAAGCCGACGGACGTCTCGGTGTTTGTGAACACTATCGTAGATGTCGTGGGCGGTGGAAGGAAGAGCGGCAAGTCCGCGATCAACGCTATGGTCCACTTGAGCATGGCCCGCATTCGTGACTTCATTCGCGGCGACAGGGTCGTTGTCGGTGCTGGTGGTAAGCATCTTTACCGGTTCTCTTTTGTGCTCTTACTGATCCACAGGAACAGCGAGGACCTACGCCTTGGCATCGTACCTCCCCGGCGTGCTCCTGGATACCATCCTAAACATCCCGCACTTCCTCATCTCGATCCGGAACGCGCTGCTCCCCATCCAGCCACATGTCATTCTGCCTCAGTCTACCTACACTCCGCCTGTCCCTCCCACGGCGTCTGTTGCCCCTACCCCTGCACCGCCTGCCGAATCGCAGCTGCCTGCCCAGGAGCAAGCTGTGGATTCTGACCCCGAGCAACATGACAATGCTTCTGAGACGGGCTCCGAGGCGGACGTGGAGAGTAATGCTGGGTCTGGAGTGGGCGAGTCGTGGATCAGCGTGAAGGACGAGTGATCCCATGCTGCGCCACGTCTACATAGGTTCTAATGACATCGCCATGGATAGAGGCTCTACTCCATATTGGTTTTCCGCCCGAGTACGTTGTTTCATTAGTGTGCTTTCTGCTTCAGATCTCTGTTGTACAACGATTAACTGCGGCGCGATGTATGTACAAAATCCTAGTGTATAATGTATATGACGGACTGCATCTTCCTCCGCTCATCCTTCGTCTCATGCATCTATCGCGCTATGCGGCGGTGACCCCTGGTCCACTTGGCCCTTCGCTCTCTGCAGCCACATGACCGTCTTGCCCACCCGACGCCAGGCCCGTCGACGTTTCCGAGACCCATTCTGCTCTTTATCGTGAAGAACCGCATAAGGTATACGATTGAACCACACGACGCATCGCAGATTCCTCAGCCCTCTGTGCTGTGCGGCCTGCACACGTTCCATGAACAGCCGGCGCATCTCCCGCCGATGCAGCCCCTCCGCCTTCTTCAGCGCAAGGAGCTGGTCCGTGAGCATCTTCTTCCTGCCGCTCACCTCGTACTTGTCAAAGTACATGACGGTGCGCCGTTCCGGCTGGAGCTCGAGCCAGTGCAGCCGCGCGTCGTGCGCGTCGCTCATCGCGCCCGCAGAGAGGGTGCCTAAGCGTGGTTCGCCGCTGCTCGGGTCGTAGGTGATGCCGGCGTCTCTGAGGCGTGCCAGCGCGCCGTCAAGCGAACGCTGCCTCTTCCACGCGGACGAGTGAGGGCGGAACTTGACGATGGAACCACTCTGGTTTGCATGGGCTGTGAGCCAGGAGTCGCAGGCTGCGATGGCGGAGGTGTAGTGATCTTCCATGTCTCGGTAGAGGGCGACGGTGCGGTCATTTTTCAGTCGATGCGCAGTCATGTATAACCCCATCTGTGCGGTGTCGATGGGGCTTCTAGGGAAACAGTGAGCTGACTCGGAGAGGAAGCCAGCTGCGCATGGATCGCGGCTCACAAGATAGTTTTCTGGGTCGATGACGACTTAGATGTAGTCTTGATGGATTTGGCGATCTTCGCCCAATGTGAGCAGCTCGACTGGCTCGTAGAACTGTGGTGAGGCGGGGTCAGCTTGTCTGTCGTGTTGCAAATGGCTGCCCAACTTGCCTACTAGCACGCATGTTGAGACAACAAAGCGGGAGCATCTTGCGAGTGACCACATAAGTAGGCCACCGGCTTCGAATGCGCACCTATTGTCGGTGCGCACTGGCATTGTAGAATACGTTGCCATGTCGGATTGTCACGGTCGGGTGGATACCGATGATCACCCTGTCCACACAAGCAAACGATAGCAGCAGAAGGGACGTGATGGCCTCTAATGAGATCTTGTGCTTGACCGTGGTAGCACAGTCACTGTTTGAGGGATCCCGAGAGTATTGTTCCCCGACATTCGCAGGGGAACAATACAGCCTGCATACGGAACATCGAGACCTTGAGAGGTCAACAACCTGCATCAACGGAGACCGGCGGCAGCCGGTTTCACAAAGACAACGAGCAGAGGCAGAAGAAGGACCTTTGTAGTTGTTCGCGCACAAGCATCATGGGTACGCCGCTTGCCCATACCGAGCCTCGCTTCGCCTGACCTCTGGCTGGCAGGGATCTCGCTGTGGCTCGTCCCGACGCCCAAGCAGACCGCCCTCCTCAAGCGTGTCACGGCGATCAAGCGTAGCTCGCCCAACTCGCCCTCCTCCTTCCCCGACTTCCACCCGCACGTCACGCTCGCCACCACGCCCACCGCGTCCGGGCTCAAGGAGGCCGTCCCCGCGCACCAGCCCGCGATCCGCGCCAAGTTCCAGTCCGTCGACGTCGGCGAGAAGTACTTCATGTCGGTGTACGCTAGGGTCTTCGACGTGGACGCGCTCGCGGCGCTGCGTGCGCATCTCCGGGGTCGTCTGGGCGAGGGCGCGGTCCCGCCGATCCCGCATGTGTCGTTGTACTATATCGACAATGCGGATGCGGAGGAACGCGAGCGGGTGAGGGAGGAGCTGAAGAGTCAGAGACGGGTGTTAGAGCGCGCGGACGGCGTCGCATTGGATTGTTCGGAGGACCCAGGGAACGCGAGTGACGCGAGTGAGGTGCTCGAGGGCATTGACGGTGAAGAAATATGGATCATTCAGTGCAACGGTCCTGTACCAGGGTGGGAGGTGCTCGATAAGATACAACTCAGATGAAGGTCCTGGACGCGGAAGGCTCAGGCGTTGTACGATTAAGAGGGATTCAATGACATGACGGTCTTTATACACGAGATCAACGAGTCAACTGGAACGCTAAGTGTCATATCGGTCATGCGATGGGCAAGTATGGCTACAGGTATGTCAAGGCGGATGGATGCTACAGAGTCATGGAGATGTAACCGGAACGAGTGAAGCAGAGGCGCTAGCGCATCGAAAGCAGAAACGGGGCAGTGAGAGCAACAGAAGGGCGAACGAGCAACGAGAGGCACGAGAGGTCGAAGGTCGAATTCTACAGGCGAAGGTGCGTTGGGAGGAGGATGCAGCCGATGGCAACTATGCGCAACTTTCATGCCCTGGAGTACCCAGGAAGCGCAGCTTCCGAGTAGTCCAGCATGTTATTGCTCGAAGAGCTTGGGCCCGGGGCAAGTAGCAGGTCCAGGCTCGTTACGGAAGACGTCGGTGAAGCGGCCGGGGATGAACGTGGACTGTACGCCGGAAGCGGCACAGAATAGTCGATCTTGCGGTCCCCGTTCGCGTCGAAGAGCTGCGAGTACGCCGGGAGGGATGGTGCATACGGTAGGCTCGCCATCGGGAATAGCGCCGCGGACAACGAACCCTGCGGCTCATCCATCGAGGGTACTTGTGCGTGACTCGAAAGGTAGCCCAGAGTGGTCGGCTCAGGCGCGTTGCGCTGGATGCGCGCGAAGCGCAGCGGGACGCTGAACTGCAGCACCTCCGTCGCGCGCTCTGGCTCTTCCTCCCCGCCCTCCGACAAGTCGTATGTGCACGTCATCTTGACGTGCACCATGTGGCTCACGACGAAGAGCGGGCTCTTTCCCGTCTCGCGAAGGCGGCGCGTACCGGTCTTGGAGCTCCGGCGCGTGTTGTCGACGGGGATGTGGGTGCGGAGGGAGAACCACGTCGATGTGTTCTCGGGCGCGGCGTCATCCTTGAAGACGTAGCCGTCGCCGGCGAGAGCGAATTGGCCGAAGGAGTCCCTGGGGAGGAGCGACCGGGTGTCAGTGAGGCTGTGGTGCGACGGAGGGACGACTGCCAAGCCGACATCGTAGTAAGCGTGAGCGGCGTTGGGGTCGCGCAGAGGTCTGCACGGAGGCTGTTCCGAGGCCGGAGGGACGGGAAAGAGCGTCTTGTACAATGAAGAGGGCTCCGAGCTGTGCGCATATAGTCAGCTTCCTTTCAACCTCGGGGCGAGGGGTACGTACCGGCACTGTTCCGACTGTTCGACATCAGCAGAGAAATCGGTCAAGCGAACGCGTTTGCATTCTGCGTCCGGGAGATCTTGCATGCGGAGACGCATACAAAGAGGGAACGACGAGTCCTCAACGTCGGTGTAAGTTGGTACCGAGATGACCGCGCGTAGCTTCGACATAACATGAAGAGGAAACTTGGATGCAAGCTCTACATCAGCCCGAGGCTCGGCCTGGACGCTATAGTCAACGGTAGGGCGACTGTTCTCCCCGGAGACGTTGATGTAGCGGTTCACAGTAACGGGGCACGCGGGCGCGGAGACGACACGAGAACGCGAGCGGAACGACGAACAGCAAGCCGAGAACCACGAACGATTTGCGTCGTCGTCGACAGTGAGGAATTTGGCCGATGCGTAGAGCGCATAGCGGGTGCCGGCTTCGCCCCGGTGGTCACCATAGACTGCAGATGCCGGAAGCCAGCCAGGGGCGACCAGGTTGTATGCGACGCTCCAGACGCAGGGCTTGTCGTCCTCTTCATGCCCTTCGTTGCTCAATTCGATGGTCTGCCCAGCGAGAAGCTCATTCGAGAGACTGCAGACGCGGAACGGGACATAGCCGGTGTCCTCGGTGATCAGTTCGCACTGGCCCTCAAACACCATGGTGAGAGACTGCAGTACGATGCGGACGGGTTTGCGACGTTCGAAGAAGGTGAATGGGGACGAAACGGAGATGACAATGTCTCCGGAAAGCGAATACGCGGTGCTGCAGCAGAAGGCTACGCGTGAGCTGCATATCCTCGACATGACCACACAGAAGACTCACGACTTGTCCGGCTCGCCGTACATATCCAGCGAGGCCGAGTGTGGCTGGATCTCTATCGATACAGACATGTCGTTAGTGGCGTGAAATCAGAGGCGTTGGGTATTCGAGCGGCGGCTGAGGTGGTAGGAGCTCGGGGCATGGAGGACGAGGCGGACGTGTTATATACGCCTGGCGCGCCGCTTAGCGCATGTCTACCATGCTGTCCAGGATAATGGGACGGCAGATGGGGCCTGGCGATGAAAGGAGACGCCTGCTTTGGCCCTCCTTTTGTCCCGTGGCCTTTGTGCTCCCAATCGAGTACAAGGCGTGGCCGCGCTTGTTCACCGCTTCATCAAAATTGCCCTTTATGGGACCTTAGTCAGCCACTTCGACCGCCTGCCGATCGCCGTCGATCGCAGTAGTACATACGGCGCTATAAGTTCTACGTAACGTAGTGAGTGCATCGATGAGCTTTCTGTCACGTAGCCCAGAGCCTCTGTATGCGCTGTCGTCAATTTTCACCGATACGGCCATGAACGGCGAGCCAAGGTACTACTACAGGCATCCCACGTCAAATGGGTCACCAAGTAGCGCTCCGAGTGGCAAAGCGAGTTTGTCATACTCCGCGTACCACTCAGACACTTGGGCCGCGTACACTGGCCGCGATGTTCAGGGATGCGAGGTCGCTGCTCGATACAGGCCGGATAGCTCGAGTTGCTATTGCGACGCAGTGGCAGCGGTGCCACCCACTGGCAGTGGCGCATCACTTTCCACAAAACGGCAGATTTGGGTGCTAGACTACTACATTAGGAAGTGACCCATCGGACGTTGGTGACCCATTTGACGTGGGATGCCTGTAGTCAAGCTTTCAAGACTCCAGCCACACACCACTGTATGGAGCACTGCTTCGTAGCGACTATGAATCTGATCATTGGTACTTTTTTGAACTATACATGCATACCCGCTACACGGCCTATTGACACAATGCCCGTCACGCCAATCGGCAATCCCTACGCGACGTCGTATACGACCAACTCATCCACGCCCGATGTACTGAATTGCGCCACATTTTCCGACCACCCTCGTACGCGCGCACGCTCGTGAACGCGTACCTGTTAACCGTGAACAGCTCCGGTTCCGCCGAAAGACCTGACGAGCCGGGCACGTTCGATATCGCGCGAGTCATGGAACGTGTTGAACGCAGCGCTATTCGGGCAGCCTACATGGAATGCGGCTCGCTGGCAGTCGTGTCTCCACATCAGGGTGAAAACGCTAGCCGTGCTGGTAGTCAGCCCCAGCGGCGAGACTTACCATACCGAAATCACACAGCAGCATACGACGGTATTCATATTCGCGCATGACGTTAGCTCAACATTGCAGAAGATGATATACTTTTTATTGGCACTGCAGCTCTAAACTAAAATGCAACTCCAGTCCACCGAGCCACATCCATAGCACAGCTCACGTCACGCCGTCGACTGCCACGACCGATTATGACTCGCCCATCTCCTTCGCGAGCTGCTCGGCCTTGGTCTTCACGTCCTCGATCGTGCCAACCATGTAGAACGCAGACTCGGGAGCGAGTCGTGATTGCCAGAGAGGATCTCCTTGAACGACCGGACGGTGTCCTTGAGCGACACGAGCTTGCCCTCGAAACCGGTGAAGACCTGCGCGACCTGGAAGGGCTGCGACATGAAACGCTGGATCTTACGAGCACGCTCGACCTGTAGAACGCTCCTTAGGTACGTGTACTGATGCAGCACGGCAGAAAACGTACGGTCAGCTTGTCCTCCTCGGACAACTCGTCCATACCCAGGATAGCAATGATATCCTGGAGTGACTTGTAATCCTGAAGGATCTTCTGCACGGCAGTCGCGACATCGTAGTGCTCCTGGCCGACCTGTTATAGAGCACCCACGTGTGAGACATCATTCAACGACATCACAGGTGAGCACTTACGATACGGGGGTCGAGCATACGGGACTTTGAGTCGAGGGGGTCGACGGCGGGGTAGATACCGAGCTCAGCGATCTGACGCGACAACACAGTCGTGGCATCCAAGTGAGCGAAAGTTGTAGCCGGAGCAGGATCCGTCAAATCATCGGCGGGCACGTAGACGGCCTGCACAGACGTGATGGAACCCTTCTTGGTGGTGGTAATACGCTCCTGCCTGTGGACAACGGTCGTCAACACTGAGAAGGATGAATACTGTGAGGTGCACTAACATGCCACCCATGTCCGTCGAGAGCGTAGGCTGATAACCGACGGCAGACGGGATACGACCGAGCAAAGCAGACACCTCCGAACCGGCCTGGGTGAAACGGAAGATGTTGTCGATGAACAGGAGCACGTCCTGGCCCTCCTCGTCACGGAAGTACTCCGCGATGGTCAGACCAGTGAGCGCAACACGGGCACGGGCACCGGGCGGCTCGTTCATCTGACCGAACACCAGGGCGACCTTGGAGTCACCGTCAAGGTTGATGACACCCGTCTCAATCATCTCGTGGTACAAGTCGTTACCCTCACGCGTACGCTCGCCGACACCTAAAACATCAAATTAAAAAATATCGGGGATAGTGCGGAAGAACTCGGACGTACCGCAGAAGATAGAGAAACCACCGTGCGCTTTCGCGACGTTGTTAATGAGCTCCTGAATCAAGACGGTCTTGCCGACACCAGCACCACCGAAAAGACCGATCTTCCCACCACGAGCGTAAGGCGCAAGCAAGTCAACGACCTTGATACCAGTCTCCAGGACTTCCGCAGTCGTAGACTGATCCACGAACGGCGGAGGGTCGGCGTGAATGGGAGACAACTTGACACCCTTGATAGGACCCCGCTCGTCAATGGGCTCGCCGATGACGTTCATGATACGGCCGAGCGTCGCAGTACCGACGGGGATCTTGATGGGCGCACCCGTGTCGACGACTTTCTGGCCACGGACGAGACCCTCGGTACCGTCCATGGCAATGGTACGGACCGAGTTCTCACCCAGGTGCGCGGCGACTTCGAGGACGAGACGACCGCCGTGGAAGTCAACAACCTCAAGCGCGTTCAAGATGGGGGGAAGGTTCTCCGTCTCGAACTGCACGTCGACGACGGCGCCAATAACGGTCTTGACATGACCGCTGACGCCCGTTGCCTCCGTGGCATATGAGCGAGCTGCAAATCCGCAAAAAAAAGATAGAGCATTCAAGAGATGAGTTGACAGACTCCCGACACGCCGAGAAATGTGCACTGACTGGACTGCGCTGGCGCGCGGGGAGCACGAGCCTGCGCGCGTTGTGACGAGGGTGCGTGGGCGACGCGGGCCGCGATGGCAGGGACTGCAGCGGTGGAGAAGAACGCGTTGGTCTTCTTTGCGCTGTTCAGCGCCCTGCGGGAGAGACGGTGTACGCCGCGCGAGGTGAGCATGGTCGACGACGTGGACGATGAAGAGGTGGAATGACGAGGCAGGCCGACGCCCACATAAACTTCATTTCAGGCTCCGCTACCCCCCGTACCGGCTTCCTCCGAGAGCGACCGCCTCAACATTCCGTGCGCCGTCCCACGCCCCTTGGTTTGCTGGCACACCATGCGCGCGCACGCTCTATCCGTTGCCCGTTTGCTCGCAGCATCTGGCAAAGGGGCTGCAACCCGCCGCGACTGCTATTTTTCTGCCCCCACGCAGGAGGGCACGGCGGCCGGACATTCGAAGCGGAGACGGGCGGAGACCACGGGCACCGGGTGCGCGTCGCGACGCGTCCGGGAGACGGGAGCCGCCCATTGCCGACGGTGGCCGGACCGTGCACCAGGACTGCCAAAAAATTCGGCAGAGTCGAGCAGCCAGAGTCCTTGTCTGAGAGGGAGATGCCTTCACGCACGTTTGTCTCCTCGCACGCCCGCGCGACGCGCCCCGCCCTTTAGACTTTCCTCGCTGCCCAGCCAGCCATTCACCCGAGCCCGAAAGTGAGTGCAAGTGCTCGCCCCCGGCATGCTCATGGATGCGAGCGATCTTCCCAGTGTGTGGCATTATGGGACTCATTCTCCACGACGCCAGCCAGGAGGCGGCACCAGAGATCTGCGAGGGCCTGGCACTCCTCCAGCATCGCGGTCAAGATGCGTGCGGCATCGTCACTTGCGGGCCCAAGGGACGTTTCTACCAGTGCAAAGCAAACGGGATGGTCAGAGACGTCTTCGATGCTCACGCGCTTTCCACCTTGTACGGCTGGATGGGCGTTGGACACGGTGGGTGATGCTCTCCAGATGCAGTGATCTCTGACTGAGTCATTTGCGTGTGTAGTGCGGTACCCGACTGCAGGCAGCTCTCACCACGCAGAGGCGCAGCCGTTCTATGTGAACTCGCCGTACGGCATCGTTTTTGCCCATGTAAGCCCACTCTTCTGCTAGCTGCGCATCAGCTTACCCTCGACCAGAACGGCAACCTCATCAACACGCAGTCTCTCCTCCAATTCATGGACGCCACCGCCCACAGGCACATCAACACCACGTCCGACTCGGAGCTCCTCCTCAACGTCTTTGCCGACAACCTACAGAAGACAGGAAAGTTCCGTATCAATGAAGAGGATATCTTCACCGCGATCGGTAGCCTGATGGAGCAGTGTAAGGGCGCGTATGCCTGTGTAGCGATGCTCGCGGGTTTCGGCATCATCGCCTTCAGAGACCCGAATGGCATTCGGCCTGTAGGCATGGCCTCGCGCAAGGCGTTTGGCAGCGCCACGGGCAAGGACTACATGTTCGCAAGCGAGAGTGTAGTTGCGGACGCGAGTGGTTTTGGCGATTGGGAGGACGTCAGGCCAGGTGAGCGTCTCACACCTCGGACATGGGCCGGGCGGCGCTGAGGCAGTATACAGGCGAGGCAGTTATCATTACACGCAACAGCGTCAGCCGCAGGATTGTCGGCAAGGCGGCGACGTTCGCACCGGACATCTTCGAGTACGTCTACTTCGCCCGCCCGGATTCGGTGTTAGACGGGATAAGTGTCTACCGGAGCCGGATGGCGATGGGCGACGCACTTGCCGCGGAGGTGCAGCGCGTGCTCACCGAAAAGGGCCTGTCGGTCGACGTCGTCATTCCCGTAAGTGCCGTGGTGCGCTGACGCGAGCTAAGGCGGCTGAAGGCTGTGTTATCAGGTTCCGGACACGTCAAGAGTGGCGGCGTTGAACTTGGCGCAGAAACTTAATCTGCCCTACCGAGAAGGCTTCATTAAGAACCGATATGTTGGGCGCACGTTCATTATGCCCGGACAGCAGATGAGGTAGGTCTGCGTCGATGTAGCTATGTCGCATATCTGACCTGGGTCCAATAGGAAGAAAAACGTGCGGCGGAAGCTGAACGCGATGGCGCTCGAGTTTGCGAACAAGAATGTACTGATCGTCGACGACTCGATCGTGCGGGGGACAACCTCGAAGGAGATCATCCAGATGGCGAAGGACGTCGGCGCGAAGAAGGTCATCGTCGCGTCTTGCGCCCCACCTATCCGCTACTCGAACGTCTACGGCATCGACATGCCGTCCCGCGTCGAACTCGTCGCCCACAATCGGTCGCTGGACGCCATTGCGGAGACGATTGGCGCGGACCTTGTCATCTTCCAGACACTGCCCGACCTTATCGAGGCCGTGCGGCAGTTCAACCCGTCGATTCCGCAGTTTGACTGCTCCGTGTTCACTGGCGAGTACGTGACTGGCGGTGTCGACGAGGAGTATCTGTCCATGTTGGAGAAGATCCGATCTGACAATGCAAAGAGCAAGACCCTGAGCGTGGAGGCGAATGGCCTTGCGGGCGGTGCGGATATGGTTCAGGAGCGCAGTGAGCTCGCCCTCGGGTGCAGCGGGCCAATGAACGGGGCAGATGATACAATAGGTTTGCATAATAGCTGGAAGTTGGGCTAATAGTGTCTTGGCTAGCTAGCGGTCGCGTTGTATCTGTGCTGTGTACTGCGTAATGCTGTATGTACATTTGGGTCCTGTGCTGCATCCTGTGACCTTCCTAGGTACGGATCCGCTAACCTGTCATACTACCTCGCCAGGTTGGTGTCTGCGCCGCCGCCGGCGAGGGGCGAAGAAGATCCAACGCCAAAGGAACAAAATATAAAAAATATGGCCTGAAGGTAAATATCCACTACCACCGACGGGGATCGAACCCGCAACCCCCACCTGGCTTTCCCACGGTCACGTGTAGGAAGGTGATGCGCTACCATTGCGCCACGATGGCCACAACTGTGAACAGCAAAGTAGTAATAAGTATGTAAGGCCGTTTAATGACCCACCTTGGCGTTTTCGGGACTGGTGGTTTGCGCTTGGTTTGCCGCTTTGCGCCGTCGGGAGTTGGTCAGGAGTCGACATCCGAGATCCTTGGCATAAAAGTCTTGGCACCCCAGAAGCACATTATGTAAGCGGGCTATGATGCACTTGTCCCGCCTGCCGGTGCGCAGTGGGCAAGTGGCCCGATCGTGTGTACGGTTCGTATAAAGCCACCCGCCTGTCCTTACACAGCCCTTCAACGTTCCGAACCATGTCCACCGGCTCAGAAACGACGCCCCTGCTCCCCACGCAAAATGGCAACGGTAACGCCCAGTCGCCGTCGTTCACCCATCGTGCCACAGAGTTCCTGAAAGCAGAGGGCCAGCCTAGCTGGCTTGCTTCGTACCGATACTTCTTCTTTGGCTCTTGGCTCAATGTTCTCCTCGTATTCATTCCCTGAGCTTCCTCGCGGAGCACTTGCACTGGGACGCCGCGTTACGCTTCGCGTTCAGTTTCATAGCAATCATGCCTCTGGCAGCGGTGAGCGAGGAGTGGCAATGGTGTCCACCTACCTCATGCTGAAGCCGTATTTGCAGCTGCTGGGGACCGCGACGGATCAAATGTCACTAAAGTTGGGTCAGACATTGTCCGGTCTGTTGAATGCCTCTTTTGGGAATGCCGTTGAGATTATTGTCGGCGTTGCTGCCCTTCTGCAAAGTGAGATTCAGCCATTGTCTTACGCGAACCTCCTCCTGACGTGGGCCTGCTCACCGTAGATGAACTGCGAATTGTACAGACTTCGGTGAATAGGAGCATATAGTCTCTAGTTCCATTGTCCCTAATGTTTCCGAAGATGCTGGGTTCGATCCTGTCGAACCTCCTCCTGGTATTGGGATGCTCTTTCTTCGCAGGTAGGTCATTGCACCCGCGAAGGCATCCCAACGGTTCTGAATTCTCGTACCAGGTGGCCTGAAATACTCAGAAAGCAGCTTTCATCAAACGGCCGCTCAAGCGTATGCCTCTCCTTCAATGGACTGCGCTCTAGAATTGACCACGCACCTTTACAGCTCGAGCTCGCTCATGACTTTGGCATGCATCAGTATGTCGTTCTATCCACCGAGGGTTTTGACATTGACCGTCTGTCGACAGCCCTCGTCATCCCCGCCGCATACCACAGCGCACAATCGCACGCTGGGAACTCGACGACCCTGGTAAATTCGATCGCCAACGCTGTTGTCGACGGCACAGATCTCGACACGGCGTCTGAGCGTGGCCTGCTTCTCATCTCGCGCGGGACGGCGTTGCTTCTGTTGGTCGTATATGTCGGCTACCTCTTCTTCCAGGTGCGTTTCTGCGTCCTAGTTGTTGAGTGTGTCCTCACCTACTCCCGCTCACAGCTGAAGACACATGCGTACCTATTTACGGAGGACGAGGGCGAGGTGGAAGCACAGTTGATGAACGTCCCTGCTGCTGGGTCCGCGTGCGTACTTCGCTTCCGTGCTTGTGAAGCGCTGCGGCTCAGAGTCCAACTAACTCCGTTTTCGCAGTCTTCTGCTTGTCACCGTCATTACATCATTCTGCGCCGATTACCGTGAGTGCTTCTCGATCGCACGCCGGTTCCTTTGTTGATTCTGTGTCCCAGTGGTTGCTTCGATTGAGGAGGTCGCCACCCGCTATGGCATCTCGAAGCCATTCATCGGTGTGATACTGCTTCCCATCGTAGCCAACGCAGCCGAACATGTCACCTCGATTTGGATGGCTCGTAAGAACAAGATGGCTCTGACGATTGGGATCTGTGTGGGCAGCTCGATCGTGCGTGTCTACAGCGTCTATTATGCCCATCACAACCGCACAGACTGATCGCTATTCAATCTAGCAAATCTCGGCCTTTGTGGTTCCGCTTCTTGTGATCGTAGGCTGGATGTGAGTGCATGGATTCAACGCAGAAGGACAATGGCTGAGACGTTCGATCGCAGGACTGGCCACAACCTAACGCTCTTTTTCTCCAATTTTGAGGTATGTAGTGCATCATGTGCGAGGTAACGCATGTCTCATGAGCGTGGCGTCCTCAGACGATTGTGCTCTTCGTGTCTGTGCTTCTGGTGCAGTTCCTCATTCAAGACGGTAAATCAAACTACATGGAAGGCATGATGTGAGTCTCACTCGTCCCATGCAACTGCCGGCTATATCTCACCCGTCTCCCTCTAGGCTCATGACCTTGTACCTTGTCATCGCTATCTCTTGTGAGCCTCATATTGTTACATGTTACGGTGTTTGACTGACGGTTCCTCGCAGTCTGGGTCTCACAGTGAAGGCGGCAAGATTGGTCCGCTGCGCCAAAAGTAGACGACACACGTTGGTCACCACGCACGTACCATACTGTTCTGTACTGTATTATCATCGTACTGCGATACCCCGAATATTGTCGATCCTTCCCCTTCTCCGAATTGGACGTTTCCTCTATTTCTTCTAGTGCAGTGCTCGTTGTTCACTGTATCCGTAGTCTTGGCATTTACGCGAGTAGGACGTCGACGACCTCTTGTTGCACATTTAGTGACATCAATGTACGCGCCTCGTTACTCTGCGCAATAACAGACGCGGATATACAGCTTTTCGACGGACTTGTGACCGCTCACTTACCGTATAGCAGTTGCTACAAAGTCCTATTTCCGTTCTCCAGAACCCCGTTTAACGACTTGCATACCAAATGCGGTAAGTCATGTACTAGACCCAGCGCTCCGGTCGCCGAACTCGCATTCGGACTCGGACACTTCCTCAGTCCAGCCAGAACGCCATATAGATTGTGCGTACAATAACATCCTCCTCGTTGTTTGGGAGAGGAACGGTCTGGGCACCATGCCCTCCCTGGCGGCCATATCCAAGGGTGAATTCTTGCAGTTATTCCAACGATGCATGCCTCCTGGAGGATGGCCAGACACGATCGGTATGGATGCACGTCATTTCTACGTTGTACCTCATATACTGAACACATGTAGCGGTAGCAAACTCTGGCGGTCCGGACTCTACGTGTCTGCTCTATAATCTGTCTTCACTTGTCAAGAATGGACCATCTGGTTTACCGCAACGACTGTTGTCGATTCATATCAACCACCAACTGCAGGCGGCGTCGAATGACATGGCAGATTTGGCTTCCAGAAACGCGCGAGCCCTGGATGTCGAGCACCTCGTCTTCACTGTTCCATGGTCAAAACCTCCGTATCCAAACTTCCCTCACGCGGCATCCACTGAATCGCTTGCGCGGAGTGCGCGCATGCGGGCTTTCTTCGACCTAATGACCAGAGAAGGCGCGACGGTACTTGCACTTGGTCATCATGCCGACGACCAAGTCGAAACCGTGATCATGCGTGCCGCTCGCCAAAGCCGTTTCATGGGCCTCGGTGGTATGATGCCCGTGCGGCGGTGGGGAATGGGCGACGACGCAAGCGAGGATCCGCTCGCTTCCTTTGGCAATCAAGGCATGTCCCGGTGGATGGTACGACCGTTCCTGACTGTACCGAAGGTAAGGTCCTGCAGGCTCGTGCGAACGAACATGGTCCAAGCTTACGAACAGGCCAGGATCCTTTCCACGTGTGACCAGAACGCGTTGAAATATACTATTGACAAAACGAACTTCGAACCGTCTCTCACTGTGCGGAATGCGATTCGGCATGCACTGGACTCCTCAGACGGACTGGTGAGCTGCTTCTCAATTTGTCTCGACGCAAAGTAACATTCCTTCTGTAGCATTCAACGCTGTCGGACGTCGAAATGAATATTCCTAAGCTGCTGAAGGGGAGTTTTGACAGTCCTCAAAATCGAGATGATCTTCGTGAGATTGTACGATTGTCAGGACAGCATGTTGACATGGTCAACGGACAAGGTCGGTGAAAACCCGGTTTCCCCGTGTTGCTTCAAGGCTAATACCCCGACCTTCTTTGCAGTCGACAACATCTTGGCACGCTGCCTGCTGCCGACTTTACCGTCTACAGTGACACTACCCTCGGCATGGCTGCAGAACATCCCAAGTGATACGCTCGAGGGTCTCATGGCACGCGTCCTGCGCTATGTTTCATGCCATCCATGGGGTTCACGTCGCGCGCGAGCGAGCGGATCCAGCTCTGCATATCAAGTTATCATGAACAGCGTAACACAAAATGGGCCGGAAGTGCGACCTCGATCGCCGTTTGTACCCGGGGCGTCCGTCTTATTCAGACCTGGCTTCGTAGCTCAGGATGGCATCTTCCGGCAAGTGGATCAGCAACCGGAAAATATGCGTCCTGCATGGCGTTTGCAGAGAACTCCACCGCACGAGAAGAATAGATCTGAACTGGACAAGAAACCCAAGCCACTGTTGGTCAAGATAGCCCCACTGCTCTCTCAATGGCGACCAAAGCGCGAGGACCCGATTCTGCTGTACGATCACAGGTTCCGTCTCCACTTCGACATGGCACGCATCCCCCCAAGAGTCCTGTCTGTTCTGAGGGACAACAGTGATGCAGAGATGTACGTGCGCCCCAATGGTCCGGAACACAGTCCGAAGGTCGTATGGCTCACAGGCTCACGCGAAGTCATCCTGGCGGACTATCGACGCGATGTATTGGGTATGTCCGAGGGAAAATCGAAGGCGAAGGTACCCAAACAAAACTGGATTCGTATGAAGCTAGTGCGATCGTTAGAGGCCATATAACGATCGGCTGGATCATATGACCGACATTCTCTGAGTCCCTGCATACCGCACGAAACATCTTGAAGCATCGACATGATGTGCTCGACCCATTGGTATGTCAGCCCGCACGTCGTGGGATCGTCCACCCGCTGAGGCCTTTGCTTCAGTCTCCACCCAAGCTGCCTTCCTTACGGTGGTGTTTGTCGACGATGGTTGAAGTACATAGTGCGGCATTTCTCTCTGGTGTTCAGCCATTCCGACCGCTTCATTGTATCGACTGGCTCACGTACGGGTACAAATCTAACTCAGCCAGACACGTCGGTACCATGTCAGGAGCAGTGGACAACTCAGACGACGGTCACTGGATTGTCTAAACAGGTATGTGTGCGTATGTGGGTCCCCGGTTCGCTTTTTGCGATTAGCATCACTACCTCGAGGCGTCGACCCACTTGTCCTCTCCCATCATGAACCAGGCAGATCTAGCAGCGAATTCATACTCGGTAGACCCGGCAGAGGCCATCCTAGACGGACACCAGTGTATGGTGACAGCCGTCGCCTTCCATCCTACCCTCAACGTGTTGGCGTCCGCAAGTGAAGATCGCACCATCAAGATATGGCAGTACGACATCGGCGCCCTGCAACGGACTGTCCTGGGGCACACAGGGTCCGTCAATGACCTTGATTTCAACAGCAAGGGTACTCTACTTGGTGAGCGTCGGTTCTGTCTGTCAAACGCCAGCCGACAGGTCGTGTAACAGGCTGAGGCCTGATTGCATTATGCCAGTGAGCTGTTCCTCGGACCGCACGATCAAAATATGGGACGTCGAAAACGGATGGGGGGACACGAAGACATTCGTGGGGCACGAACATACCGTGTCCTCAGTCCGCTTCATGCCCGGCGATCAGCAGATCGTCAGCGGTAGCCGCGATGGGACCGTCAGGATATGGGATGTGGCGTCGACGTATGTCTCGTCCTTGGATTGAGCTGGAATGCTTGACTTGCTTACTGTATCGTATCTCCTAGGGCTGAGCTTCGCACCGTGATAGCCAATGCGGGGTGGATCAGATGTGTCCGCCCGTCCTATGACGGCCAGGCCATCTTGAGTTCATCCGACCAGGTGCGAATCGCACGTCTGGTCATGGCGAGCAGAGGCTGAGTAGACGTTGTCCAGGTTGCTCGCTTGAGCGACGCACGTACCGGGCAGACGTTGGTGGAGTTTGTGGGGCACGACCTCGTCGTGGAGGCGGCTGTCTTCGCACCTGTGGCAGCCTACCCTGCCATACGCGAACTCGCGGGCCATATCTCAGTACGTCCGGTTTATCCGTTTCATGGTCACCGCTACACTGTACGTCTAGGCGGCTGGTGGCCCGGAGCGACCGGGAAGGTACATGGCCACCGCATCGCGAGACAAGTGCATCAAAATCTGGGACTGCCAGAGCGGGCAAGCCATAGGGACCTTGGTGAGTAGTCCGATCTCTCGCCACTGACATACCGATCGTCACCTCGCACCCATTCGCAGGTCGGCCATTGCTACTGGGTACAGGCGCTCGTCTTCCACCCTAGCGGCAAATACCTGCTCTCTGCGTCGGACGACTATACCATCCGCGTGTGGGAGCTCAGGACGGGGCGCTGCGTGCGGACGGTCGAGGCGCACCCGCACTTCGTGTCGTGTTTGGCGTTGAACCCGAGGTCTGCGAGGTCTCGCAGCCTCGTCGCGTCGGGCGGCCCGGACATGACCATCAAGGTCTGGGACGAGGAGGCTTGGATACAGGAGGCTTCGGCGAGGTTGTAGAGGCACCTCCATACTGGGTCGACCCTTGAGCTTCTCGATAAGTCGGTAGGTCTGTGTCAAACATGATGGAGGAATGTATTAGCATAGCGACGTGTATGGTATAATCTTATAGCAGGTCTTCCGAGCAGAGGCGCGTGTCCGAAAGCATACAGTCCGTCTATGATACCAAGCTATCGCCCTGCAGCTCCTCGAACTTCTTCCGGGCAAGCCGGATGTTCATCCTCAGCGCCGCAGTCTCTGCAAGCAACCATGAGCACTGCACTCCATCTTGCATTCACCAAGAGACGCACCTATTGTCGGGTCATGCACCACGATAAGCACGTACGTGTTCTTCGTGAGCTCGTCGAGCACCGCCGTGAACTCGTCCAGCTCCATCTCGAGCGAGTGGAACTCCTCGCGCACGCGCGAACACGCGTGCTTGAACGCCTTGATCAGCTCGGACGTCCGCTCGTAGCGCGTCGGCGAGAGCCGGTGTGCGTCCGCGTCCGCCTCGAGCTCGGGCTCGCGCGCGGGGAGAGAGCCCTGCGAGGTCGGCGTGAGAAGGCCGTTCGTTGTGGCATGCGAGGAGGACGGGGAAGCGAGCGCGGGGGGGCTAACGGGCGGCGCGGAGGGAGGAGGAGAGGAGGTCGCAATAACGAGGAAGGTGGTGCGCTCGAAGAGGATTACTTCGGTTGCGCTGCAGGCGTGCGCGAGGGTGGTGAGGTGCTTGGAGAGGACGGCAGCGTTTGGAATCAGGGTATGGACTATCCGGGACCACGCCTAGAGCTTCACGTGAGGAGAGTATGAGTAGAAGCTGAGGAAGTGGCGTACCTTGTACAGGCTCTCGTCGTATATGCTCGTCCCGAACACGGTCATAGACACATCCCCACTTGCCTGCTGAAGCTCAAGGGTCTTCCTCTCGAGAGTCTGCGCGCGCGAGCCGCGGGCAAGATCCATCTTGTGCACGAGGAGGAAGACGGCGGCGTCAGGGCTGTACTTCTGGAGCGCGGCGAGGCAGTCGCGGTAGTACTGGAGGTCCTTGGGCATGTTGCGCGACTCGACCTCGAAGACGTAGATCATGACGCCGACGTGCTGGAAGATGGTGGACGCCTGCAGCGCAAGGTAGGTGTCCATGAATGCATCCTGGCCGCCGCAGTCCCAGAGGTTGAGGATGAGGTCGCCGAGGAAGCGGACGTGGTTCTGCTCGACGTCGATCGTCGCGCCGAGACGCGCGGTGAGGGACGCAGGGTTGTTCGAGCTGAGAGGACCGAGCTGTGAGCGAGCGTTCGCAGGAGTAGATCGTGTATTAGACTTACAAGATCAAAGACCGCATCGACGTCTTCCCGCTCCCCGACGCGCCCATGAGCAACACCTAACATGACCCCCTTCAGATATGTTACCCAGACCAGGTCTGCTGCTTTACCTTCTTCTTCATGATGCTCTGAGACGAATTGAAGGGTGGTAGACTAGGGAAGGCTTGGAGTACCGCCCGGACGTTGTCAGGCGTCGAGCGCGATCAACGGTCAGCAGCAACCAGTCTAGCTTTAGAGTTTCCGGAGCCGTTTGCAACTATGGCGTCGCACAGGGCGTGCAGTAAGAAGAGTAGCGGGGCTGGATGAGGGGGACGGCAACCATGGTTGTCATTGAGTAAACCTGAGTCGGCGGCGGGTGGCTGCACAGCGGCGACAGTAGCCGGACAAACCAATCGTCATATGGCAACTCCGTGCAGTACGCTGGCAGTACGTATGAATACGTACTCTCACTCCTCAGCTGAGTCGTCCTCGCAGTCCAGGATTGTCACGAGCAAAATCTTGTGTTTTACATTCGGGCCTACTGCTACTCTTCTGTTCGTCGTACACAGCGTACACAACCTCAAGCGGTGTCTACATTCCAAAAGCACTGTCCGCGTCAGAACTTGCCTTCCGACCAGCGTCTCGTGTGCGACGCCATCTCTACCGCAGCAGCGGCCCAGTCCTCGCCATGGTTATGTCCCTTGTTCTCCCCTCGCCCAATGCCCGCTCGCTCCAGGGCCTGATCGTCGTTGAGGGCCGTAAGGACGCCGAATATGACCGGCACACCCGTGTCCAGCTGAACGCGCATGAGCGCGTGCGATACGCTGTCGCAGATGTACTCGAAGTGCATGGTGGAGCCCTTGATGAGGACACCAATGGCAATGACAGCGTCGAAAGGCTGGCTGGGCATGCCTGCAATGGTCGGGGCAGGAGTGGATGCGCGAGAGCCAGGGCGAGGGGAGGAGATGGACCCGAAGTTCAGACCTCCCAGCAGGTCGGTTGCAGTCGCTCCCGCCTGAACATGAGAGCCAGCAATCACCCTAGGGGAGGTGAACGTCCCACACAGATAGCTGAGATGTCGGAACGTACCTCTGGCAGGCGAGAGGCAACTCGAAGCTGCCGGGGACGGACTGGAGGAGGATGTTACTCTCCTTGACCCCCTGCTCCCTGAGCTTGGCGACGGTGCCCTCAACGAGCGCGTCGATGACGGTCTTGTTCCATCGCGAGTGCACGATGGCAATGCGGAGGGAGGAGCCGTCGAATTTGGCGGAGGCGGGAGCTGGGCCTTTTATTGAGTGCATCGTTGCCCACCGCTGGGCGCCTCCGCGCGAGCTCCCCGGGATCGCGTTGTGTGCTCCTGTTTGCTCCCCGTGGCAGATCGCAGATTTCTGCTTCCGGCCCTCTCATTGGCTCCCCGGTGCCCCGTCTGCTCGCATCGGCCTCCCCATACCACACACTACTACCGTCCACATCTTGGCCCTCGGACATGGACATCAATGTATTGCGTACGTACTGTCGGCACATATGCTCGGGAGACGAATTGATCATTCTTGAAGCAGTAACGTATGCCCTCATCTATGACTTCCTCTCGCGAAGGTCACATACAAAAGCAGCTGAGTCGGTGAAGAAAGCCGCGAAGGGCACCGTTGACCTGGACACCGAAAGGAGCCTCGACACGAAGTTGGAGCAGCTTGTATCGGAGTGGAAGGCTTCTCAGGCGAAAGCGGGGGCTACTCAGTGAGTATTCGCTGTACTGAAATAGCTACATGATTGTGCTAACATGTCGTAGGCAGAAGAAAGCAAAGAAAGATGCTAAATGTACGTCTGCACACTTCTCGCACCCGTGCCCATATCGTACTCATGCACGCTCCAGCTCTCTCCGAGTCCGAGTCTGACTCGTCTAGCTCGAGCTCCGACGACGATTCAGACTCTGACAGCGACTCATCCTCTTCGAGTTCAAGTTCTTGTACGTCCCTGTCTCAGACCTCACCCGCGTACCTAATCCCCATTCGTCTCAGCGTCGGAGTCGGAAGCAGCTGGCAAGAAGAAGACAACCAAGGCCCCTGCGCCGGCAAAAGCTGTAGTCCTTGAACCAGCCAAGTCCCCGTCCCCACCAACGAGCAAAACCATGTCAAGTGACGACGACGATGACGACGACAGCAGCAGCAGCAGCGATTCAGATTCGCCTGGTGCACCCACTGGGAAGGCAAAGACGGTGACGAAGAAGCCTGCTACGAAGAAGGGTGCCAAGGATGCGGACGACAGCGACGACTCGAGTTCTGACTCTGATTCCGACTCGAGTTCCAGCAGCAGTTCGAGCTCAAGCTCAAGTTCAAGCTCGAGCGAGGACGAAGACGAAGCACGCAAGAAA